CGATGGCCCCGGGGCGGCCGCGCGGGGCCCCGGAGCGACCCTTGTGCACTGCCCCTGGGACTGCCCCGGACATGAAGCGCTACCTGTGGGACCGCTACCGCGAGGCGAAGAGGAGCACGGATGGTGAGTGCAGCGACGCCCTCCTCCCTCTCCCTCCCGCCAGCCTGGGCGGGGGTGGCGGGAAGTGTATGGGGGGGCCGGGGTCTTCACCCCGGGGCTGGGACACCAGGTGTTCTCGCACCCGTCAGCTCAGGAGCGGGCACCTCAGGGACCCGAGCTGACCGCGCTGCTGACCTCCATGGCCCCCCCAGTCGTGACCCTCGGTTATCCCTAAATCCCGTACGCGGGCGACGTCGCAATTCCGGGAAACGGGGAAAATGAGCCATCTAGAAACTTTCTCTTGTTGGGGAAGCTGGTTTATACATTCTTGGAATTTTTAGCCAGAAGTCTGCGTTGGAACAGCTTTGGGTTCTCCCCGGCGGGTTTCACAGGCATCGCCTTGCCAGACGATCGATCACCTCCCACACCGTTAGGTGTTGTTGACTAACAATAACAATGGTAACAACCGGAGTCCGGCAGGCGGCTGGTCACCTGGATTTGGGTGCCAGGCAGGTGGGAGTGTCCGGAGCCCCATCAGTTTACCTTTTTAAGGGAGTGAGATTTGCTGTGTTTGAAATAAGAGGGGTTCAGGTTCACAGTGTCTGGGTTCTTTACTAACCTAATTGAGCAGAGGATTCCAGGTAGTGACCACCAAGTGGCCAGGTTATTAATAAGGACAGCTGGGATACTGGGAAAGAGCTGAGTAAATCCTAGTACCTGGTACATAGATTGTCTCCCTGACAATCTGTTGGTGTCTTACAGTACCTACAAAGAGGTGTCATGTCCTCATTCTATAGATTGGGAAAGCCAAAGCTCAAGTTCGAGCAGCCTGGCCAAGGTCACACCTTGACTTGGGATCTGCCTCAGATCTGCCTCCCTAACCCACTGCCCTATTTCCTGTCCTGTCTTCCACTAGCAGCCGGCCATTTGGGAACTGGTGTAAAGGGCTGATGGTAATCCTTTAGGGCTGCTCCTTTTAGGGAGGCGCTGGAATGGATTTTTTAAAAAAACTAACTTTTGGGGGTGGTGGAGGTGGCATATAGAGACAGTGAGGATATTTGGTGGGAGAGAACATTGTGTAGAACATTGCTTTTTTCCATCTTTTGGCTAGAAATCAGTTTAGTGAAAGAATGCAAGAGTCTTTTTATCCATTGGGAAAGTTTTTTTTTTTTTTTTTGAGGGAATTCCTCGTGGCTCACAATGCAGAATTCTAGGAAAATGGGATTTATTTTCTTTTGCTCAGTTTAATTTTTCACCAGCTTTTGATAGATTGCATCAGATGGTACAAAGAAGTATTGGGAATTGCAGATCTTAGTGGGAAGGAATCTAGAAGATCATCTAGCACAACTTTTGGGCAGACAACACTTAAAAAATGGAATATTAAATCGAGATAATTATGTACCTACATGCAGTTGTAATAATTAACATAGGGATACTCTTTACCTACTTTCTCCCTATGGTAACATTTTGCAAAGCAGTACAACAGGTATAATCACGACCATTATATTGATATTGATCCAACTCGCAGGCTTTATTTAAAACCCTCGGTTCCCTTGCACGTGTGTTTGTGGACTTAGTGCTGTGTAATTTTATCACAGTGCCACAGTGAAAATACAGAATGATTCACTAAAAGGATCCTTTCCACCCTCTTTGTAACTACTCCTACTTCCTGGGCAAGTATCCGTCTCCACTTAATCAAATGTGTCCTTTTAAAAAGCTATGTAGATGGAGTCCTATAATTTGTAATTTTTTGGAATTAACTTTATTTATAGAACATAATTGTTTAGAGATGTATTCTGTGTGTGTGAGAGAGAGAGAGACAAGTAGTTTTATTTTTGAAGATTTATTTAGTTTAAGAATTTTGTCCTTCGATTATATAGATGGGTTTGCTGCTTCAGGCTGACTCTGGGGACTCCCCGAAACTTCAGCTTCCCCATCTGTAAGTGGGGGCGGAGTGAGCTAGTCCATCTGTGACAAGTGTTTCACATTCCTGGTCAATGAGAAGGCTGAAGGGTTGGTTTATAAGGAGCATCTTTAGGCCAGAGTTTCGGCTTTGGTGTGTGATAGGCCTGGGCACTAGGGGTAGGGGTGGGTTTGGAGCATGCCAGTGCTTGAGGGAGATTTGGAGACTTACTAGCTCTGTGACTTTGGTGGCAAGTTACTTTCCTCTCTGACCTCTGTTACCTCAACTGGAATCTGGTTATAATGTCTTTTAGAAGATAGTAGCTATTGGGCTCTCTCTGGGGTTAGAGCACAGCACTATGAAGCACTACGAGTTTGATCCCCGGCCAGGGTGGGGGGACCCACATGGTGCAGCAGACCTCTTCTGACCTGCCTGCTGCTCCCCTCAGCAGCGTATTTCATTCAATCTACCTGTTTTGCTCCCCATTGTCTCCGGTGAGTCCTCTCACCACCCCCTCCCCACCTCTGGCCTGTACCCCGGTTCTGTATGTATAAATAAATAAATCTTAAAAAAAAAAGAAGATAATAGCTATTATTACTAGTTGTTAAATAACTTAGTCTTAGTCATGCTTGGTAAGGGTGGGTTAGTTAGCACTGGAATCTGTGTTTCCTGTTTAGCACAACACCATTAACCAGCTTGGGTGGCTTTGAAAAGACCATCTTATCTGACTTGCTTCTCATAGAATGAGGCCACTGGATTAAATAATGTCTGAGTCTTTTCAAGTGTTAAAGGTCTGTGAGTCATTTATTCGGGGTGCTCCATCCAAAGTTTCACTCCCTAGCACATACACAGGCGTTCCCTGTGTCACTCCTGAGAACACAGGAACTTTAATTAGACTTTTCCTTCTTTGTCCTCCCTGGATCTGCATGGTCCATCCCCCTTAGCTGAAGTCTGTATGGGTGGATGTGCCCAGCTTACATTCTTGTACTAAGCATTTATTAATCACATAGCAGTGGGCTTAAGCACCATGATTCACAGATGGATGAATCTGGGAGGCAGGGCTCACCCTGCGAGCACCTGTCCCTGCCGGGCTGTGCTTCCTGGCTGCTGAGAAGGGTAAACAGATAAAGGACTGTCCTGTGGCCCCTGGGACTCTGACACCAGGGCAGATAATGGGGTCAGCTGGTCTCTTGCTTCCTTCAAACATCTGTTCAGGTATCTTCCCTGTGAAGGGGTTCCCGGTAGGAAGCCTGCATAGGTGATTTTTATTCCTAGTTTTACCTTTTATCTTCCACTCTTCTTTTTATTCATTTAAAATCTATTTTTTTTCCTAATAAATTTCACTTTAGATCAGTTTGGGATTTACAGAAAATTTGCATGGTTT